CCCGGTTTTCAGTAAGGTCAGTGCTACGTCCCTTCCACCACATAGACCATATGACTGTGCTATTGAGTTGTTACCTGGTGCACCGTTACCCAGCAGCCGTTTATATAACATCTCCAAGCCAGAACGAGAGACAATGGAGAAGTATATTAACGAGTCTTTAGCTGCTGGAATTATTCGCCCGTCCTCTTCTCCTTTGGGTGCTGGTTTCTTTTTTGTTGGCAAGAAGGATGGTTCGTTAAGACCATGCATTGACTACAGAGGGTTGAACCAAATCACCATAAAGAATAAGTACCCTCTACCTCTCCTAGCCTCTGCTTTTGAACCTGTTCAGGGGGCAACAGTCTTCACCAAATTGGATCTGAGAAACGCATATCATCTCCTCAGAATCAGAGAAGGAGATGAATGGAAGACTGCTTTCAAGACACCATTAGGTCAGTTCGAGTACCTGGTAATGCCTTTTGGTTTAACAAACGCCCCCGCCTGCTTTCAAGCACTAGTGAATGATGTTCTCAGAGACTTTTTAAATGTGTTTGTCTTTGTCTATATAGACGACATTCTCATTTATTCACGGAACTTAACTGAGCACAAGAAACATGTCCGCCTGGTGTTACAGAGGCTACTGGAGAACAAGTTATTCGTCAAGGCAGAAAAGTGTGAGTTCCACCAACCATCAGTGACCTTTTTGGGGTTTGTGCTCGAGGGCGGGCAGGTTAAGCCTGCTGAGGACAAGATAAAGGCGGTTTTGGACTGGCCGATTCCTGAAGATCGAAAACAGCTTCAAAGGTTTTTGGGGTTCGCCAATTTTTACCGTCGTTTCATTAGAAATTATAGCCAGACGGCTCAACCTCTGACCTCTGTAACTTCAGTTAAGAGGAATTTTCAATGGACTCCCGAAGCTCAGTCTGCTTTTGACAAACTGAAATCTTTGTTTTCCAGAGCACCAGTGTTAATTCAGCCCGACCCTTCTAAACAGTTCATCCTGGAGGTCGATGCTTCGGATTCTGGCGTTGGAGCCGTCCTTTCCCAGAGACTCGACTCAGATCAAAAGATTCATCCATGTGCTTTTTTCTCTCGCAGACTCTCATCAGCAGAACAGAACTACGGCGTTGGAGATCGAGAACTATTAGCCATCAAATTGGCGTTGGAGGAGTGGAGACACTGGTTAGAGGGAGCTGAGCACCCGGTTCTAGTCTGGACTGATCACAAGAACCTTGCTAGCATCCAGTCTGCCAAACAGGCCAACCCTCGTCAATCCAGGTGGTCCATTTTCTTCTCCAGATTTAATCTCGTTATCTCCTACAGACCCGGATCTAAGAATGTGAAACCAGACTCCCTCTCGCGCCTATACTCCGTCGATCAACCCGAGACACCAGAGCCAGTCCTCCCGGCCTCTTGTACTGTGGGAGTCGTGAACTGGGAGATCTCCGATCTTATTAACTCCGCCCTGGCCACGGAACCCGACCCAGGTAACGGTCCGGCTAACAGAACTTATGTTCCGTCTTCCGTCAGGTCCAGGCTCATTCAATGGATGCACACTGCCAAATTCTCGGCCCACCCTGGAGTCAGTAGAACCATCGCTCTCATCACCAGACGCTTCTGGTGGCCCACTCTCCACAGGGACGTAAAGGAATATGTGCTGGCCTGCCCCATTTGTGCTAGAAACAAGGCCTCGCATCAGCCACCCTCTGGTCTGTTACAACCCCTTCCGATTCCTTCACGTCCATGGTCCCACATTGCCATAGATTTCGTCACTGGTCTCCCCATCTCTCGAGGTATGTCCACTATACTCACCATCGTTGACCGTTTTTCCAAGTCCTGTCATTTAGTCCCTCTCAGGAAGCTCCCCTCGTCGTTCCAGACTGCTCAGCTTCTCGTGAAACACGTCTTCATATTACATGGCATTCCCCAGGAAATCCTATCAGACCGTGGTCCTCAATTCGTTTCACAAGTTTGGAAAGCCTTCTGTTCAGCTCTGGGCTGTAAGTCTGCCTTGACTTCAGGTTATCATCCACAATCCAACGGTCAGACCGAGCGCATGAATCAGCACCTAGAATCCACCCTTCGCTGTCTAACTTCCAACAACCCCACCGACTGGAGCCAGTATCTACCTTGGATCGAGTACGCCCATAACTCCCAGAGATCAGCTTCCACCGGCCAGTCACCATTTCAGGTCAGTCATGGATACCAACCACCACTTTTCCCCGCAGATGAAAAGGAGATAGCAGTCAAGACCATCAACCAACACATCCGTCGCTGTCAAAGGATTTGGAAAGAAACCATCACCACCCTCAACAAATCATCAGAGACCACCAAACTTTTTGCCGACTCCAGGAGACGTCCCGCTCCCGAGTACGCCATCGGACAGGAGGTATGGCTGTCCACCCGAGACATTCCCCTCAAGGGAATGTCTCGGAAACTGTCTCCCAGATTCATCGGTCCATTTAAGGTTTCCCAGGTCATCAGTCCCTCCGCAGTCCGTCTCCAGTTACCTCCGAGTCTTCGCATCCACCCCACCTTTCATGTTTCTCAGGTCAAGCCCGTAGTCTCTAGCCCTCTGTGCCCGCCATCCGACTCCCCACCACCCGCCCTGGAAGTCGATGGCCACCCGGCTTTTACCGTCCGTCGCATCGTGGACTCCCGTCGACGAGGTCGCGGCTGGCAGTACCTCATCGACTGGGAGGGCTACGGACCTGAAGACCGTCAGTGGGTTCCCGGCTCTTACATCCTCGATCCTTCCCTGATCGAGGAGTATGAGCGTTCCTGCCCATCTACTTCCTCCGGACCGCCAAGGGGCGGTCGTTGAGGGGGGGTACTGTTGGAAGCTGGAGAAGTACCTCTCTTCTCCAGCAGAGTCCGCCGTGGATCCTCCTGAGCAGAGCCCTCTGCACAGCTGCTGCTCGTTACCATCATCAGGAGGACCCTCTACTTAAGCTGTCTTCAGACCTTGCCTCAACGCCGCAGTGTTGAGCCAGTTGGTTAGCACCTAAGCCCTGAACCTCTGAGAACTTTGCTTGCTCTGAGATCCTGACAGGATCCTAATCTTGTCTCTGTTTTTCCAGGAAAATCTGATTCTCCTTCGTGAAGCTCTGGAAGAGCTTAACCCACCGAGCCTGCCCTCAGAGCCAAACCTGAAGACTTCCCCTGGATTCTCTTGCAGCTCTGGACCAAGAGCTGGAGATCCTAAGTCAAGGTCAGCTACCTTTCAGAAGCAAGACGCTGAAGCAGCTAACGGACTCAGCTAATCAGACTCTCTCCAGTTCCAACAACCTACCTCTCCAAGATCCATTCAAGGACCCACAAGGTACAAACCAGAGACTATCAAAGGACAAACCGCTAAGAGCCCAGCTAACTAACTGTCTTCCTCACAGACTCCGGTGAACCCGTTTGCCCAGGACCATAACCAGAACATACTATCGTTGGATTGTCTTCAATAAACTCTGTTAACTTTTCATCTGTTTCCTGTGTCGTGGTGTTCTGCATAATTGGGTCACATTAGTGTACCGATCATGACAAAATTAGATTTGAGAAACAACTGTGAAGCCGTCCACAAGAAGCAGATTGTACTTCCCAAGGAATCTTAGGTCCTTCAGCGTTTGCAGCAAGATGCTACATATCTTCTATAAATCTGTTGTGGAGGTACTGACTGTGGAGAATGTGATCTCTTTTTTAACTTTTTTGGAATTACTATGACCTGGATAACTGAGAATCTTCATCGGTCATCTCTTCTGCCATCCTCTGCTGGGGTAACAGTGCTAGAGCCAATGAAAAAGCTCATCAAGCTATTTAAGAAGGGCTACTCTGTTCTAGGAACTCCTCTAGAACCTCTGGAGACTATTCCACAAAGTAGAATTCTCCATAAAGTGAAGAACATTATGAATAACAGTGATCATCCTCTTCAGAAGACTTTTAAACTTCTGTAGAGCACATGACTGGTTTAAATCCTACTTGTATGACAGGGACTAGTTTGTCAACAGGAAACTTTAAATCAGTGACAAAAAAAAAATTTAATGTGTGGATCCCCAAGGCTCCATTTAGGAAACCTCCTTTTCAATATCTACTTGTTCCCCTAAGCACAGATTATACTGTTTAATTCATGTAAAGCCTTAAAAATGTCTTTGCACTGAATCGTGCTATACAAATATACTTGCCTTTACGCATGTCCTGTGTAATAGGGAACCATGCAGAGTCGGCCCCTTTCCACACTTGCTGTCTTGCATCAGTGCGCTAAAATATATTATTGCTTGAGTTTACATTTTTGAGATATTTGAACCAAACAAATTAGCGGTTTGACAAGTAAAACAACTGCTTTGCTTAGCTTATCCCAATACCATTTAACAGTGATCAAAATATTTTCACTATATTGTACAATTGAATTTATGGCACAACTTAAAGTACAATTGTTTAAACAACAATAATGACAACTAAAAATATTTCAAATAAATTTCAAGATTTTAATTTAGGAACTGATTTCGAGCCTTTTTCTATAATTTAATAAAATTGGCCAGAATTGCTTAAGTACTCACGTATGACAATAACCAGAGTACTGCACGTCCAAAACAGCTTTTAGGTATTCTGTGTGCTCTTTATGTCTATTTTGGTCATTGACAGACTTAGGAAGTAGTAATGGATTGGAGAACCAAATAATTTTAAATTCTGAAGAATTGTTGTCTTTGCAAACAATACCTGCTATTATACTAATCAATTGAAAACTAAGAGAGACTGAGGATTAAAGACGATTTAACTGACATGTGAGTGAAACAAAATTCTAGAGATTCATAATAATACACATATAATCCTTCCTTAGGCTGCACTGTGAACATTCAGAATAATAATGCAGAGCGTGACTCTCTGCTGCTGCTGGACCATTATCACAGATAGAGTAAACCAAAAAGAATTTACAAATAGAATGCTCTGTAAAAGTTTTATGATTGTGGTAAAGGACCAAACCATGTACATCCTCTCTATGTAGATCTCAGTGGTTTGTGTGTTGAGCATCTTACCAATATTCTTGGAATAAATAGGAACCATAACATTGACCAGACGCTCTGCTGCCAACAAGCCCATGCAAAGTAGCACGGTTCCCTGCAGGGCTGCAGTGCCTTTGGGCCAGATGTATGGCAACAAAAGCCCCAACTTTCCTCCAGAGCCTAGACAGATGGAGGAGCAGAGGGAGGAGTGTTTGATCTGGGGATAAAAAGGGGAAAGTGATATCAGCTGGCCACCTTACAGGGACAATATTCAAATTGAGACAATAATTTCTCATCTTTATAAGGTTTTAAAGGGACTCAGAATAAGAAGCATGTCCAGACCAAATGCCAATAATGACGCATTTATTTTTGGGTATAATGACATAATAATCACTAGCAAACGTACACCGTTCCAGCAACATATAACTCAAAACGTATACATTTTGTATAAAAATACTGAAAATAATGGCAAGCACTGAGTTACATCAACCAGGTATCATCTGTTACTGTTGAAATTCTCTCATAGCCTTTATTGCCTTTAACATTGCACGACATCTGATGTCACAGCTAATCCCTCCTTGCATTCTAGAGGTAAAAGGAGAAAAAAAACATTTACTTACACATTGCTGGCAATGGCTCTTAAATTCCATTTGAATTAAATACATTTTTCCATTTCATTAACATTTTGTATGACTACGTATATAAAAAAAAAAGCACCTCTATCTGCCAAATGTTTATTAGATTGTTTACGGGTGACTTCAACGACTGAAAAAGGCTTTCTTCTGCATTGGCTTGATTATAAGATAAGCATTTACCTAACTAAACATTTTGTACATTAACAAAAAAAAGCAAATAGAAAAGGTTGATTTGATCTAATAATACATCCTTATGTTCTCTGATATCATCAGCATTTAAATTTTTCCTTAAAAGCAACCTTACAAAATAGCTTTTAGACATTTTGTAAAACTGTTCTGGTAAAAAAAAATTATTTCATTTGACTTCATGCTTCTTAATCATGTCCATCTGTCATATCTGCTTCTCAAGCCTTTTGGTTCTTTACCAGTTTTCATTTTGGGTTTTCATTTTTTGCTTTAATTTTGGTTATCCAAGGCTGCTGTTCATAATTTTATCATTTTTTTTAAAATAGTTTACTCTTCCTTGGTGTTTATTTTAGTTTTTCTCTGTTCAGCATTTCTGTTTTGCAGCATTTCTTATTTGTGTTTTTTTTTTGTTATCTTTAGATCATGTTTTCCCATTGCAGATTACTCATCTATTTCTCCAGTCCCTTCCCCATCATCTAGTTGTCCCATTTGGTCATTCTGTGTTTCTTAGTCATTCGTTTCTTTTCCCTTTTGCGTCATAGAAGTTCTTCCCAGCCCTATTGTATTTCCCTGGTTACTCTTTGTTGCTCCCTAGTGCTCCTCTCCTTTCCCCTTAGCTCTCTTCTAGTCTCTTCTGTCCACATCTGCTCCCATTTAGCTTTTTACTCCATTTATTGCCGTGTCTCCCTATATACACCTCCTCTACAGTTACTTTTTGCTGGATTCTCTTCATGTATTTTCTACCTAGCATCTGCTTGTTTTGGTTCTTGATTTTACTGCCTATTATTTCTGAATTTATGCTTCTTTTACCATCTACATCATCATTCAATTTGCAAGGAACCATCTCTGCCTTCCCTCTCTGCATTTCGGTCCTCTACAAACATCCACTGACCTTAACACAATCAGATCTAATCCAGAATTTACCACAGATTTACTCAATTTAAGCTGTAGAATTTGTAGCTGTAGTAATGATAGGATTTTGTGGAAATGCAGAACATTAAAAATACTTAGAAAAAGGCCGTACTGTAATATAAATAAATCCGAGAGACTACAGCATTGTGAATGTTCTGCATGCATGCTAACTGTACTCCTTAGAAAGTGTGTTTCTCTGTGTGCATTAGTGAGAAAACTCTCAAGCAATCTGTATGCATGGTTTAGTTATATTGAAATTAATTGAATAGATCTTCGGGATGCTATGTTGAAGGAGCAGCTAATCTACAATAATAAGAAAGAGGCTATATTAGAGGATCTAATTAGGAAGGCCAGCACTCTCTTAAGGTGCCTCCTTGACAGCACAGACAGGGAAGACAGAACATTTCTGGCAAAAAAAAACAAACCATGAAGCTGAAGTGAAAATTCAATTTGGAAGACTCTTACTGGCTTCACCTGATGTCCCTAACTAAAGCCTAGCCTTTCAGTGTCCTGACCGCACTCCTCCGAAGCTAATCATCTTTCAAGATCCTCTTTATTTAGCTCCTGGCCAAGCCTCTCTCTAGCACACCAGCAAACTTTCCCCCACCTTCACCTCACCTCCTCTCCCATCCTCTGGCTTATTCCACCACCAGTGTCTGGGCTCCGGGGAAAAGACTACTCTAATTCCTTTTCTAGGTCACCCATCCAAGCGAATGTCGATTCACAGCATCAAAGTCTTCTGCCGTGGCCCGAGCTCCAAAGAACTTTCATTCATGTCGATAAAACTTTTCTGACTGCAGCTTTCTCTGTTTGTCTCTACAGGTTGATCACTGGGGGACAATAAATGTTAATTCTATTCTGTTGGATTTGATTTAATTGGTTCACTTATAGTCAGTTCGATTCTACAAACTCTCTCCAAAATACACTGTCAACTAAATTAACATAATCCATTTCTATAGCAAGAATAGTAACATTTCTCAAACAAACAGTGTACAACACAACTCTTTATTTCTTTAAACTAAGTATTATTAGATTTAAAGGCTGAGTCCAGTTGATCGGCCCATTTCACAGCTAATAGAAAACTCTCAGGATAAAAGTCGCAATGTGTGTAATAGTTGTGGTATTCAACAATTTTGAAGAAACTAGGTGTCAAACTTACTCATTATCTAAAGTAAAACCCTATAGCTGGGGCTTCAGTTCTGTGTGAGAAAAAAATTATTTGACTTGTAAAAGATGTCAAATGATAATAAGCTAGTGCTCCCTTATGTGTAAGTAAAGTATAAAATCTAATGAATGACATATTGTACAGTAAACTGTGAAGTAATAGATATAACCAGGTCGGTAAAAGGCATTCTGTGAATCAAAGTTACCTCAACATTCACAACTCCAGATTTTTCACTTGCTTTGTTCTTGGGGATGGTCTTCGACATTTGATCTCCAGCTGTTTTTGTTTTGCAATAAAACCTTTTCCCTCTGCCACAGCAGCACAACATTCAGAAGCAGAATATTTCCAAATATCCTGTCAGCTGGAACTCTGTTAGCAACCAAGTTTTCAGCAGTGTTATTTCAGCAGTCAGAGAGAAACATCCATTTAGCTCTCACCTAAAAGTTATAGTCAGCATTTTGCTTTGAGCTGGGAATAAAGCTTTGTGTGTGCGTAGAAGGGGAAGGGGTGGGATGTGTGCTTCTATTTTGGCATCAGAGTGAGGACCACTTTTTCTCATTTCACTATCATATTAAGGACCATTTGTTTTAAAGAGAGGATATTTTCCTGGTTAGGTTAAGGCCTGATGTATGAATTGACTTTAGGTTAAGCTAAGTGTTTGGTATGCAGTGCTGATGGTTAGGTTTAAGGTTATTTTCAAACTTCACGCAAAGAAAGCTTTGAGAATTAATAAAAATGAATGAAACTCAATTCGAGTCCCTATATATGGCATAGTGGCATCCCTTCATATAGCAATTCTAGAATTGGCGGATGTGTTTGGTGAGGGTAACTAAAGTGAAAAGGTGTATCATAAAGTGTTGCATGCATTGTGATCTAGTGGGAGTTTGATTCTCTGTCACGGTTGGGTGGAGGTTTTTGAGGACCCAAATGCAGAGATCAGGAGGAAGAGGTGAGTCTTGTAGATTTAATAGGCAACTGAGGCAGAAATACAAAAATCCCAAATACCTGAGAACCAAAAATAAGATTGCATCATCAGGGAAAACTCCCGTGGGAAGCCAGAAACAAGGGAACAACAAAACAACAAACCAGCAATGAGTAACTGCAGAGGTGGTGTATTTATTGGGAGACAAAGATCCAGAACACAAAGAAACTAAAAAATAAGAAGAAATCTGACATACTCTGGTTCTTTTCCTCCATGTAGAAATTAGCCTTAAATGAAAAGTCCGGTCAGAGAGGAATGATCAACGGATAATTATCTATACCTAAAACTAATAGATTCGCAGTAATTTAATGAATTTAGTGTTAATAAGTAAAAAAAAAAATAAAAATAGTAATTTTCGTTGAGATCACTGAGTCTGGGAGCGGCCATTTTTGCACAAATATAGTAACACCTCCCTCCAGACATCTTCCGGGAGTGACGTCACGGTGCGGTAAGCCTAGCGCCATTCTCCCCGCTTTACAAGCAAGATCAATGGGAACTACTAGACACATCTGCAATCAAAAATGATTTAACATTTCTAGAGGACTTCACCATTGCCCCGGTAGGGCGTCAGGGCGAAATGGCATTTAGGACAGGACTTCTGAAAAACGAGATTGGGAGATCCCAGCTCTCGCTGCAACCGTACGCTGGAATGACCCAGATGCAAAAAAGTGCAATGTTGCAAGGAGTTTTGTGATATCTGGTATTGCGTGGGTCCTCCTTGTGGCTGGCTCCAAATCCATTCGGAGTTCCCCTAACAGCTCCAAAATGGCAATGCTGGATAAACGATATGTTTTGATGATCGTTTCCTCCTTCATTGCAAAAATATTCACACGGAGTGAAAAAATGCGTTCTCTGCGTCTCCTTGTTTCATTTCGATGTCTCCTTCTTGCGACAATAAACGCTGCCATGTGTGCGCAATTACGCATCCAGACCATTTGCACCTTCTTTTGAAACATGTTAAATATAGAGTCAGATACCGTTAGCAAAAATGCTTTCAGGTTTGATAAATCACTTTGCGAGTGCTAAATTAATATATTTACATGTTCTCCTCCCACAAGACGCACTTTTGCGTGTAAACGCCCCATATTGCATATTCATTGCAGAAAAAGTACTAAATGGATAAGAGGCGCTATTTAGCACGTTTTAAAGACCAAATCCTTTTAGCACGCTGTTGATAGATCAGTTTGTACATTATTTAGCGTGCGCAGTGAAATAGCTCACGTTTTTATACACGCAAACCTTTGATAGATCCAGCCCTGTGACATCATAAACCGGTAGGTGGCAGTAGTGTTCTTTGACAAACATGGATGCCTCCTGTAAAGAACATTCAAATGCAGTTACTCTTAAGTAAAAACACTTATGTATTGAACAGTATGTAATAATTTTATATTTAAAATACTTTCAGAAGTTAAAATTCTGAATATGACCAGACTTTTCCTTTAATGGGTGATTCTGTGGATCTCTTCGAACATCTATGATTCTTTTTGTTCTACATTATAGCAGGCCTCCTCTGCTCTGAGACTTTGCTTGGATCCAATCAGTGGAGCTGTGTGTTCTTACCTGATATTACTTTGTTGTGTTACTGTCAAGATGCTGTTAATGGCTAGCTCGATGCTTCACTCTCTTCTACTTTCATTCATTTAGCAGTTTGCTCCTATTTTCTTGTTAATTTAGGTGCAGCAATAGTCCTACACTCAAACATCATGTTTTCTTGTTACCAATCATGTTACTTGTAACCAATGACAAGCAGATATACATCTGACACGGCACCACTCTTATCCAATTATCTGTTAGACCAGATAGTCGATGCACTTTTTTTACATTCTATGATTGGATATTGTGACGCAGCCCAGCTAAATTGAAAATAAATCTGCTCTTCAAGCCTCGTGCCTCTTAAAGGAGGACAAACATGTGTCCGGCTGGATGCTGTGCCGGTCGCCAGAGAGTGCAATAAAAATCCGGCCTAAAGGCGGACATCTGGTCACCCTTATTTGTTAATCTTCCAACCCGACATTGTCTACATATGTTAAACCTTTAGATAGGGAGTTAAAACAGAAATATGAAACTTGTAAAAAGTTCCTTTGTTGCAGCGCAGGATCCCTAAACAAGCCATCCCTTGCCTGCTAGCTTGTTTTCACCGATTCAAGTCAGCCATCTGGGAGACTTCCCCAACTTCACCTACCATGATTTGTATAATTATTTGCTAAATGAGTACCGGCCTGTTGCTCTGACTCCCATCATGATGAAGTGCTTCGAAAAGTTGGTTAAAGAATCATCTCCCCCCCTCCCCCAAACAGTGAAAAAGCAGCGTGGCGGCCTTCCAGGCTTATAATACGCTGGGGGAAACCCTGCATGCCTGTAAAAAGATTAAACTCTTCACTTGTTTTTGACTTCCACATCTGCCTAACTGAAAAAAAAATCTCTACAACAATAATTTGAGCATGACAACTAACTGTTTAAGAAATGTTCACTGCAAATTCTGCTGGTTGCAGCTGGTTGCCAGCTCTGTCTCTTTACGGCATCCACCCATCTTGTTCGCCTTTGTGGATCATAAAATGTCTTTTTTCCTTTCTTCCTTGTTGGTTGGTACACCCGTATGCTGAGCATGGGATACCATGTTTATGTCAATGTTTTCAATGTATTTATTTGTTCCTTGCAGTGTTTTTGCACGTCACTATCACTTTATTTGGATTTGTAGTCATACATATGCATATATATACATATATATATGTATAGAGTGATATGCTTATATGTGTATATGTTTCAATATCTTCTTGGACCTGGATATATATGTATTTGTATATCTGGAGTGTGTAACAAAAGTAATTTCCCTCTGGGATTATTAAAGTATGTTTGATTCTGATTCTGTATAATGGGGAAAAACTGCAATAGCTGCTGGTCATGTTCTAAGTACGTACAGTTTGTTTTTCTACCCAAAGAGGAGATGTTGTGGCTGTCATGATTGGCTGAAGTCAGCTGAACGTCCTCTATATACACCTCCTGCATGTACAGACTGTTGCCTCTAATAATTTCTACACAAGCGTGGAGCAAAAATTGTGATAGGTTTTCAGAAGGGTTTGTTTGATTTGCTAAATCTCATTCCCTATTGGGCTTAGTAAAGGTTTTCTTTTGCCGTTTGTACTAAAAGGATAATCAGAGATGGCCTGCATGGTGGAGCAATGCAGACTTGCAGCAAGAAGGTTCTTGGTTAGATTCCTGACATGGGATATTTCTGCATGGAGTTTGCATGTTCTCCCTGTGAATTCGTATAGCTGTCCCTGGGTACTCCAGTCGAAAAACATATGTTTTAGGTTAACTGATCGCCCTAATTGCCTTTAGGTGTATGTGCATGGCTGTGTTGACTGTGTAGGGTGTATCCCGCCATTTTCCCAGAGACTGTTTCAGATATTCACCCATGGCAATGATAGACAAGCCATAGATGGACGGTCTGACACTTTACATTAGGATGAGCCTACTTTTATTGCCAGTTTCAAACTCTTCCTCCTTGAAAACCGTTAATGCATTTGGTTCATAATAATCACATATCACACTTAAAAACTATATAAAAAAAAAAAAAAAAGGGGTGCAATGTAATTGGTTTTGTTTTCTTTGCCATGCTGCAGCAGGTTCCTAAAAGGATGGGACCCTACCCATTGTCGCCATAGGCATGGGGAGTCCATGTATTCTTTGTTTTATTTTACAGAAACAAAGAAATTGTCAGGTAAATGTCCAGGCAGCACCTGATGTGTTGCTCCAGGCAGAAGAGTTTAAAATTAATGATCAAACACTGATAAGATGCTGCTATAGAATTAAGCCATTAGAGATTAATGGAGATGAAATTTTAGTATGTGAGAAACCACTTCGTGTTTTTGGGGAGCAGTTAAAGCAGCTGGTGGGATCCATGATTACAACCAAACTTAGTTCGGCCTTTTTTCCTGTTTAAATTTTTAAACTTCTATAAAAAATGTTTGGCAGTTTGACCTAAATGTCTCTTTTTGGGAAATATGAAGCGCTTTCCAAACATCAACCACACACATGGACTGCTACTGTACACCCAATACATTCTCAAACAGTTCCAAGACTCAGAGAAAATGTGAAAGAACGCACAGGGATTTATGGGCTTATTTTTACCCCTTGTATTTTTCTTAACACTGCTTTTATAGGGATTTCTTTTAGAACAGGCTGTTTCAGCTCAATGGGATTTGTGAGAAAATAAAATATTTTAAACTGAAAGGTGAATTGCTTTTGTTTATCCTTTAAGATTTGTTGCTCTCATTGTAATTATGTTTGATGTTGGGATTGTTGGAACTCAGGAACAAGCTGAACCAGGCAGTTTAAAACTTTTTAATTAACCTGTTTTTTAGACCGTAAAAACTGTAAATCAAAAATCTGAAAACCGAC